GTTATTTTGTTCTCCGAGGTCACCCCAACCTAAATTATCGGCCCATATAGAGGTTTGTTGTCCCTGTTGGTTAATTAATGAGGTCTCTTTGGGTCGGTTAATTAAAGCTCCATAGGATCTTCTCGTCTTATTGTTATATTCCCGCCTCTTCACGGGAAGGTCAATTTCAAGGATTGGAAGTAAGAGACAGTAAAGCCCTTGTGTGGCCATTCATACAAGTCCCTATTTAGGGAACAAATGATTATGCTACCTTTGCACGGTCAGGATACTGCGGCCGTTTAACTAGTGTCACCGGGCAGGCAGTGCCTCTAATACTGGAAATGCTAGAGGTGATGTTTTTGGTAAACAGGCGGGGCTTGTGTTTGCTGAGTTCCTTTTACTTCTTTTAATCTTTCCCTAATTTGCATACCTGTGTTGGGTTAACAATTAGTTTGATATTCTGTTTATGGTTAGGTTATATTTATCTTGTTGTTAACTATCAGTGGTTATCCGTTCTGATATAAGCTTATGCAGGGAGAAATACTTCTTGTTACTCATATTAGCATTATTGCTTCTATTGTTAAATAGATTCGCCCAGTTTTTAATTAGGAGTTAGTTGCGTTTTTTGACATTAAGATGTTTTGATTGTTGAGCTTGAACGCTTTCTTAATTGATGGCTGCTTTTAGGCCACCTATGGTTTGTATTTATGCTTACTCTCTAATAAAGGCTGTATCCTAATTCTAAAAAGCTATACCTTTTTAGACTATATTTTAAACTTACATTAGAATTTTAGAGTTTTTTGAGGTAAGTTTAAAGTTGAACTAAGATTCTGTTCTGGGCAACCAGCTATCACCAGGCTCGTTAGGCTTTTCACCTCTACCCATAAATCTTCTCACTATTTTGCAACATAGATGAGTTCATCCTATAATAGATTGTTCATGGGTAGCTCGTCTGGTTTCGGGGGACCTAGCTGAAGTTCTCTTTGTTAGGTTGTTCTAGTTAATTCATTATGCAAAAGGTACAAGGGGTAATCTTTGCTGTGTGGTGCTTTTAATTTTTTCTTTCATCTTTCCCTTGTGGTACTTTCTCTATAGCGCCAAGTTAAATTTCTATCTCCTATAATTTTTAGGGTAACTGAATGTTTTGTTTTACTTTCTAGTGTTAGTTGGGTTTATGGATGTTTGGGCTAGCTTTGGCTCAAGATGGTCAGTTTAATATGAAATCTTCTGGGTGTTAGCCAGATGCTTTGTTTAAGCTACATCTTGTTATCCAAGCACACTTTCCAGTATGCTTACCTTGTTACGACTTGTCTCCTCTTGTGGGTATAGTGGTTTGAATAGGTTTCTTTAGGGATTTATCACTTGAGGAAGGTGACGGGTGGTGTGTGCGTGCTTCATGGCCCGACTCAATTGAGCTCTCTATTCTCAAATTTACTACTAATCCTCCTTTAATACTTACTTTCATAAGGATTTTTGTGGGTGTTCTAGTCATAGAAAATGTAGCCCATTGCTTCCCATCTCATGGGCTACACCTTGACCTAACTTTTTTGTGTTAAGATACTTGTGCTTACTTTTCTTCCTTCTTAGGGTTTGCTGAAGATGGCGGTATATAGGCTAAATTAGCAAGAGATGGTGAGGTGTATCGGGGTTTATCGATTATAGAACAGGCTCCTCTAGAGGGATGTAAAGCACCTTTGAATTTTAAGCTGTTGCTAGTAGTTCTCTGGCGGATAGTTTTGTTTGAACTAACTATCTAAGTTTAGGGCTAAGCATAGTGGGGTATCTAATCCCACTTTGGGTCTTAGCTATTGTGTAGTCGGAGATATTAAAGTTACTTTCGTGCTGTATTTTTATGTTAACTGTAGCTTTTTACAGCCTAGTTAAGGTTTAACTTTAGTATGTTTTTTTTTTCTCTGTAACATGCTTTATGCCGTGGGTCTATTAGTTTGGGTTAATCATATGACCCCGGTGGCTGGCAGGAAATTTACCAACCCTTGTTTAATATAGCTTAGTTGAACTTTCATTCATAGCTTAATTTTTATCACTGCTGCATCCCATGGGGGTGTGGCTGAGCAAGGTGTTATGAGCTACAATGATTGTGTGCTTGATACCAGCTCCTTTAGGTCACTGGGTGACTTAGAGGGCATTTTCACCGGGATGCAGAGGCTTGCATGTGTAATCTTATTAATAACTAATGGAAAGGCCAGGACCAAACCTTTGTGTTTATGGAGTCTGGCGACTCATCTAGGCATTTTCAGTGCCTTGCTTTATACATTTAAGCTACATTAACTGGAGTATAGGGTTATTTAGGTATATAAAATATTGTTCAATAGGGACGAATTAGAGATTGGGTTAGTGTATCTATAGATAGCTGCAAACAGAGTTATGATTTAGTATTAATAGTTAGCAATGATAGGGGATTGGTAAAGTTTATGAGCATTGATTCTTAGGCCTTATGTCTAGGTACGGGTTTAGTCTTGTTTTTGGGGTTTGGCAAGACAGAAATAGACAGGTATTATTATACATAAGGTTAACAGGGGGGTAAGGGGGGTTTGATTAAGCTAGTTATTTACTAAATCAAAATGTTTGGATGTGTATACGTGTATACGTGTGTATGTGTACGTATACGTGTATGTGTGTATGTGTACGTGTGTACGTGTGTATGTGTACGCATATACGTGTATGTGTGTACACGTACGTGTGTACGTGTACGTGTGTACGCGTATACGTGGGTGCACGCTTGCCGTGTCCTGTGAAACATTAGGAATTTAAGTATATGTCCTGTGACCATTGACTGAATTGCACCTTGTTTGTTGTACATGTGGAGACCCCACATAGAGAATAAGCCCAGCTACAATATATTTGACTGAGTCAGGACCTTTAGGTCATAGCTGAGTAATAGCAAGTTCGTGCCCCTAAAATTAAAAAATACCAAATGCATGACACCACAGTTATGTGTGATCATGGGCTGATTAGTCATTAGTCCATCAAGATGTCCCATTTGAGAGAGTTGAAGGATTGGATTTGAGGATTTTATGGCCCTGAAGTAAGAACCAGATGCCAGGTATAGTTCCGTTATAGAAACCCCCACGTTGAAATGGGCCCGGAGCGAGAAGAGGTACACGTTCGAGCAAGGGTTCAAGCTGAGGGTTTTTGTATGTGGCCTTTATGTTGAGGTATGTTCCCTGTATTCCTACTTTGTTGAGGGTTTCCATCAATAATGGATGTTGTGCTTTGTGAAATGCTTTTTCTGCATGTATTAAGAGGATATCTTTGTTCCTATCCTTTTTAAATTAATGTGGTGTATCATGTTTATTGATTTGCAATTATTGAACCACCCTTGCAACTCAGGGACAAATCTCACTTGATCATGGTGAATGAATCACTTGATGTATACTTGGATTTGATTTACTAGTATTTTGTTGAGAATTTTTGCATTGTTGCTCATCAGGGTATTGGACTGTAGTTCTTTTTTTAGTGGAGTCTTTGAATGGGATCAGATTTAGGATAATGCTGGAATCATAGATGAATTTGGAAGTTGTCCTTCCATTTCTATTTTTTGGAATAGGTTAGGAAGAACAGGTATTAACTCTCCTTTAAATGTGTGGTAGAATTTCCTTGTAAAACCATCTGTCCCTGGATTTTTGTTTATTTGAATATTTTTGATTCTTGATTCAATTTCTTTGCTGGTTATCAGTCTGTTAAAGTTTTTTATTTCTTCCTGTTTCAGTTTTGGTAGTTCATATGTTTCTAGAAATTTGTCCTTTTCTTCCAGGTTGTCCAATTTGTTGGCACATAATTTTTCATAATATTTTCTTATACTTGTTTTTATTTTTATTTTATTAAAAAAATTTTTGTAAACATTTATTTATTTTTGAGAGACAGAGAGAGACAGAGTGTGAGCAGGGAAGGGGTGGAGAGAGAGGGAGACACAGAATCCCAAGCGGGCTCCAGGATCTGAGCTGTCAGCACACAGCGTGATGCGGGGCTCAAACTCACAAACCATGAGATCATGACCTGAGCCAAAATAGGATGCTTAATCAACTCAGCCACCCATGCGCCCCTTATACTTGTTTTTATTTCTGCCCTGTTGGTTTGATTTCTCCTGTCTTATTTGTGAGTTTATTTATTTAGGTCCTTTCATTTTTCTTTTTGATATTTCTGGCAAAGGGTTAATCAATTTTGTTTTATTTTTTTTCAAAGGACCAGCTCCTGGTTTCACTGATATGTTCTACTGGATTATTTTTGTTTCTATGTCATTTATTCTCTAATATTTATTATTTCCCTTATTCTGCTGGATTTAGGCTTCATTTCTTCCTTTTGTAGTTCCTTTAGGTGTAAGGTTAGGTCGCATATTTGAGGTTTTTCTTTCTTCTTGAGGTAGGCCTGTATTGCTATATACTTCACTCTTATAACTGCTTTTGTTGCATCCCAAAGGTTTTGGAACATCATGTTTTCATTTTCCTTTGTTTCCACGTACTTTTTCCATTTCTTCTTTGATTTCCTGGTTGACCCATTCATTCTTTAGTAGGGTGTTCTTTAACCTTCATGTATTTGTGGTCGTTCAAAGTTTTTCTTGTGGTTGACCTCAAGTTTCATAGCTTTGTGTTGGAAAGATGCATGGTACAATCTCAATCTTTTTGTACTTGTTGAGGCTTTATGTGTAAACTAGTATTTGATCTATTCTGGAGAATTTTCCATGTGTACTTGAAAAGAATTTTTCTGCTGCTTTAGGATAAAATGTTCTGGATATATCTGTTAAGTCCATCCAGTCTAGTATGTCATTCAAAGCCCTTGTTTACTTGTTGATTTTCTGCTTAGATGGTCTATCCATTGATATCAGTGGGGAGTTAAAGTTTCCTACTATTATTATTGTATTATTATCAATGAGTTTTTTTATGTTTATTACTAAATGTTTTATATATTTGGGTTCTTTCATATTGGGGGCATAAATATTCACAAATGTTAGATTTTCTTGTTGGATAGACCCCTTTATTATTATATAGTGCCCTTCTTCATTGCTTGTTACAGTCTTGGGCTTAAAATCTAGCTTGTCTGATATAAGTGTTGCTACTCAAGCTTCCTTTGGACTTCCATTTGCATGGTGAATATTTCTCCATCCCCTCACGTTCAATCTACAGGTATGTTTAGGTATAAGATGGGTCTCTTATAGGCAGCATATTGATGGGTTTTGATTTTTTTATCCATTCTGACACCTTTGGGTCTTGATTTTTTTTAATCCATTCTGACATCTGTGTCTTTGTATTAGAGCATTTAGTCCATTTACATTCAGAGTAATTATTGATAGATATGACTTTAGTGCAATTTTATTACTTGTTTTTTTATTGTTTCTGGAGATTTTGTTTCTTTCTAGTGTTTGTCACTTTTGGTTTATCTTTCCCACTCAAAGAGTCCCCTTTTATAGTTCTTGCAGGGCTAGTTTATTGGTCAAAACTCCTTCAGTGTTTTTGTTTTTGTTTTTGTCTGGGAAACTCTTTCTCCAGATTTTATTCTGAATGATAGCTTTGCTTGATAGAATATACATGGCTGCATATTGTTCCCATTCAGCATGTTGAATATATCATGTCCTCCCTTCTGATCTGTGATGTTTTTGTGAACAGATCTGCTGCTACACTTATTTGTCTTTCTTTGTAAATTGAGGACTTCTTTTGTCTTGCTGCTTTAGGATTTTTTATCTCTATATTTTGCAAATTAACAACCATATGTGTTGCTGGTGGCTTTCTTTTGTTGAATTGATGGGATTTCTCTGAGCTTCCTGTATTTGGTTATCTATTTCCTTCCCCATATTAGGGAAATTTTCGACTAAATCTCCTTGAAAAACCTTCTGCCCCCATTCCCTCTTTTCTTCTTTGGGATTCTTTTTTTTTTTAATATATGATATTTATTGCCAGTTTGGTTTCCATACAACACCCAGTGCTCATCCAAAAAGATGCCCTCCTCAATACCCATCACCCACCCTCCCCTCCCTCCCACCCCCATCAGCCCTCAGTTTATTCTAGTTTTTAAGAGTCTCCTATGCTTTGGCTCTCTCCCACTCTAACCTATCTCTTTTTTTTTTCTTCCCCTGCCCCATGGGTTCCTGTTAAGTTTCTTAGAATCCACATAAGAATGAAAACATATGGTATCTCTTTTTCTCTCTATGGCTTATTTCACTTACCATCACACTCTCCAGTTCCATCCACGTTGCTACAAAGGGCCATATTTCATTCTTTCTCATTACCACGTAGTACTCCATTGTGTATATAAACTGCAATTTCTTTATCTATTCATCAGGTGATGGACATTTAGACTCTTTCCATAATTTAGCTATTGTTGAAAGTGCTGCTATAAACATTGGGGTACAAGTGCCCCTATACATCAGTACTCCTGTATCCCTTGGGTAAATTCCTAGCAGTGCTACTGCTGGGTCATGGGGTAGGTCTATTTTTAATTTTTTGAGGAACCTCCACACTGTTTTCCAGAGCGACTGCACCAGTTTGCATTCCCACCAACAGTGCAAGAGTGTTCCCGTTTCTCCACATCCTCTCCAGCATCTATAGTCTCCTGATTTGTTCATTTTGGCCACTCTGACTGACCTGAGGTGATATCTGAGTGTGGTTTTGATTTCTATTTCCCTGATGAGGAGCGACATTGAGCATCTTTTCATGGGGCTGTTGGCCATCTGGATGTCTTCTTTACAGAAGGGTTTATTCATGTTTTCTGCCAATTTCTTCACTGGATTATTTGTTTCTCAGTGTGGAGTTTGGTGAGCTCTTTATAGATTTTGGATACTAGCCCTTTGTCTGATATGTCATTTGCAAATATCTTTTCCCATTCCGTTGGTTGCCTTTTAGTTTTGTTGGTTGTTTCCTTCGCTGTGCAGAAGATTTTTATCCTCATGAAGTCCCAATAGTTCATTTTTGCTTTTAATGCCCTTGCCTTTGGGGATGTGTCAAGTAAGAAATTCCTGTGGCTGAGGTCAGAGAGGTTTTTTCCTGTTTTCTCCTCTAGGGTTTTGAAGGTTTTCTGTCTCACATTCAGGTCCTTTATCCATTTTGAGTTTATTTTTGTGAATGGTGTGAGAAAGTGGCCTAGTTTCAACCCTCTGCTTGTTGCTGTCCAGTTCTCCCAGCACCATTTGTTAAAGAGACTGTCTTTTTTCCATTGGATATTCTTTCCTGCTTTGTCAAGTTTAGTTGGCCATACTTTTGTGGGTCTAGTTCTGGGGTTCCTATTCTATTCCATTGGTCTATGTGTCTGTGTTTGTGCCAATACCATGCTGTCTTGATGATGACAGCTTTGGAGTAGAGGCTAAAGTCTGGGATTGTGATGCCTCCCGCTTTGGTCTTCTTCTTCAAAATTACTTTGGCTATTCGGGGCCTTTTGTGGTTCCATATGAATTTTAGGATTGCTTGTTCTAGTTTCGAGAAGAATGCTGGTGCAAGTTTGATTGGGATTGCATTGAATGTGTAGATAGCTTTGGGTAGTATTGACATTTTGACAATATTTATTCTTCCAATCCATGAGCATGGAATGTTTTTCCATTTCTTTATATCTTCTTCAATTACCTTCATAAGATATTTTTCAGCATACAGATCTTTCACATCTTTGGTTAGATTGATTCCTAGGTATTTTATGCTTCTTGGTACAATTGTGAATGGGATCAGTTTCTTTATTTGTCTTTCTGTTGCTTCATTGTTAGTGTATAAGAATGCAACTGATTTCTGTACATTGATTTTGTATCCTGCAACTTTGCTGAATTCATGTATCACTTCTAGCAGACTTCTGGTAGAGTCTATCGGATTTTCCATGTATAATATCATGTCATTTGCAAAAAGTGAAAGCTTAACTTCATCTTTGCCAATTTGGATGCCTTTGATTTCCTTTTGTTGTCTGATTGCTGATACTAGCACTTCCAACACAATGTTAAACAATAGTGGTGAGAGTGGACATCCCTGAGGTGTTCCTGATCTCAGGGATATAGCTCTCAGTTTTTCCCCATTGAGGGTGATGTTAGCTGTGGACTTTTCATAAAAGGCTTTGATGATGTTTAAATATGTTCCTTGTATCCCGACTTTCTCGAGGGTTTTTTATTAAGAAGGATGCTGAATTTTGTCAAAGGCCTTTTCTGCATCGATTGACTGGATCATATGGTTCTTATCTTTTCTTTTATTAATGTGATGTATCACGTTGATTGATTTGCGAATGTTGAACCAGCCCTGCATCCCAGGAATGAATCCCACTTGATCATGGTGAATAATTCTTTTTATATGCTGTTGAATTCGATTTGCTGGAATCTTATTGAGAATTTTTGCATCCATATTCATCAGGGATATTGGCCTGTAGTTCTCTTTTTTTACTGGGTCTCTGTCTGCTTTATGAAACAAAGTAATACAGGCTTCATAGAATGAGTCTGGAAGTTCTCCTTCCCTCTCTATTTTTTGGAATTGCTTGAGAAGGATAGGTATTATCTCTGCTTTAAATGTCTGGTAGAACTCCCCTGGGAAGCCATCTGTTCCTGGACTCTTATTTGTTGGGAAATTTTTGATAACCGATTCAATTTCTTCACTGGTTATGGGTCTGTTAAAGCTTTCTATTTCCTCCTGATTGAGTTTTGGAAGTGTGTGGGTGTTTAGAAATGTGTCCATTTCTTCCAGATTGTCCAGTTTGTTGGTATATAATTTTTCATAGTTTTCCATGATAATTGCTTGTATCTCTGAGGGATTGGTTGTAATAATTCCATTTTCCTTCATGATTTTATCTATTTGGGTCATCTCCCTTTTCTTTTTGTGAAGCCTCGCTAGCGGTTTATCAATTTTGTATATTTTCTCAAAAAACCAACTCTTGGTTTCATTGATCTGCTCTACAGTTTTTTTTTTTTAGATTATATATTGTTTGTTTATGCTCTAATATTTATTATTTCTCTTCTTCTGCTGGGTTTAGGGTGTCTTTGCTGTTCTGCTTTTATTTCCTTTAGGTGTTCTGTTAGATTTTGTATTTAGGATTTTTCTTATTTCTTGAGATAGGCCTGGACTGTAGTATATTTTCCTCTCAGGACTGTCTTTGCTGCATCCTAAAGTGTTTGGATTGCTGTATTTTTATCTTCCTTTGTTTCCATATATTTTTAAATTTCTTCTCTAATTGCCTGGTTGATCCATTCATTCTTTAGTAGGGTGTTCTATAACTTCCATGCTTTGGAGTTTTTCCAGACTTTTTTCTGTGGTTGATTTCAATCTTCATAGCATTGTGGTCTGAAAGTATGCATGGTATGATTTCAATTCTTGTAAACTTATGAAGAGCTGTTTTGTGACCCAGAATGTGATCTCTCTTGGAGAATGTTCCATGTGCACTCGAGAAGAAAGTCTATTCTGTTGCTTTGGGATGCAGAGTTCTAAATACATCTGTCAAGTCCCTCTGATCCAATGTATCATTTAGGGCCCTTGTTTCTTTATTGACCGTGTGTCTAGATGATCTATCCATTGTTGTAAGTGGGGTGTTAATGTCCCCTGTAATACCACATTCGTATTAAGAAGGTTGCTTATGTTTGTAATTGTTTCATATATTTGGGAGCTCCCGTATTCGGCTATAGACATTTATAATTGTTAGCTCTTCCTGATGGATAGACCCTGTGATTATTATATAATGCCCTTCTTCATCTCTTGTTACAGCCTTTAATTTAAAGTCTAGTTTGTCTGATATAAGTATGGCTACTCCAGCTTTCTTTTGACTTCCAGTAGCAGGATAGATAGTTTTCCTTCCCCCCACTTTCAATCTGAAGGTGTCCTCGGGTCTAAAATGAGTCTATTGTAGACAGCAAATAGATGTGTCTTGTTTTTTTGTCCACTCTGATACCCTATGTCTTTTGGTTGGAGCATTTAGTCCATTTACATTCAGTGTTATTATAGAAAGCTATGGGTTTAGAGTCCTTGTGATGTCTGTAGGTTTCATACTTGTAGCGATGTCTCTAGTATTTGTCTCACAGGATCCCCCTTAGGATCTCTTGTGGGGCTGGTTTAGTTGTGATGAATCTTTCAGTTTTTGATTGGGAAGACCTTTACCTCTCCTTGTATTCTAAATGACAGACTGGCTGGATAAAGGATTCTCAGCTGCATATTTTTTTCTGTTCATCACATTGAAGATCTCCTGCCATTCCTTTCTGGCCTGCCAAGTTTCAGAAGAGAGATCGGTCACGAGTCTTATAGGTCTCGCTTTATATGTTATAGCATGTTCATCCCTCACTGCTTTCAGAATTTTCTCTTTATCCTTGTATTTTGCCAGTTCCACTATGATATGTCGTGTAGAAGATCGATTCAAGTTACATCTGAAGGGAGTTTCTGTGCCTCTTGGATTTCAATGCCTTTTTCCTTCCCCAGATCAGGGAAGTTCTCAGCTAGTATTTCTTCAAGTACACCTTCAGCACCTTTCCCTCTCTCTTCCTCCTCTGGAATACCAATTATTCGTAGATTATTCCTCTTTAGTGCATCATTTAGTTCTCTAATTTTCCCCTCACACTCCTGGAATTTTTTATCTCTCTTTTTCTTAGCTTCCTCTTTTTCCATAATTTTATTTTCTATCTCACGTATTTTCTCCTCTGCTTCTTCAATCTGAGTTGTGGTTGTCTCCATTTTATTTTGCAGCTCATTTATAGCATTTTTTAGGTCTTCCTGGCTGTTCCTTAGTCCCTTGATCTGTCGCAATAGATTCTCTGCTGTCCTCTATACTGTTGTCAAGCCCAGTGATTAATTTTATGACTATTATTCTAAATTCACTTTCTGTTATATTGTTTAAATCGTTTTTGATCAGTTCATTAGCTGTCGTTATTTCTTGGAGATTCTTTTGAGGGGAATTCTTCTGTTTTGTCATTTTGGATAGTCCCTGGAGTGATGCGGAACTGCACTGCACTTCCCCTGTGCTGTCTTGAATAACTTGCGTTGGTTGGCGGGGCCGCAGTCAGACCTGATGTCTGCCCACAGCCCACCGCTGGGGCTACAGTCAGACTGGTGTGTACCTTCTCTTCCTCTCTCCTAGGAGTGGGATTCACTGTGGGGTGGCATGGCCCATCTGGGCTACTTGGACAGTGCCAGGCTTGTGGTGCTGGGGATCTGGTGTATTACCTGGGGTGGATCGGCAAGGTGCACAGGTGTGGGAGGGGCAGGCTCAGCTGGCTTTTCGTTGGTGATCCGCTTTGGGAGGGGCCCTGTGGCGCCAGGAAGGAGTCAGACCCGCCGTAGGGATGGATCCACAGAAGCACCGCATTGGGTGTTTGCGCAGTGCAAGCAAGTTCCCTGACAGGAACTGGTTCCCTTTGGGATTTTGACTGGGGGTGGGCGAGAGAGATGGCGCTGGCGAGCGCCTTTGTTCCCAGCCAAGCTGAGCTTGTCATCTGGGGCTCAACAACTCTCCCTCCCATTTTCCTCCAGCCTTCCTGCTCTCTGAGCAGAGCTGTTAGCTTATAACCTTCCAGCTGTTAAGTCCTGCTTGCTGTCTGAACACACTTCGTCCAGCCCCTTTGCTTTTGCAAACCAGACTCAGGGGCTCTGCTTTGCCAGCGGGCTGCCTCTATGCCCTGGCGCTCTCCCGCCAGTCCATGTGGCGCGCACCGCCTCTTCTGTGGGCCTCTAATCTATGCTTGGCTCCGGAGAATCCGTTCTGCTCTCTTCTTTGGGATTCCTATGATCCAAATGTTATTACTCTTTTTGGAGTCATTGAATTCTTTAAGTCTATATTCGTGATCCAATATTTTTCTTTCCCTTTCTTCATCTTCATTATTTTCCAGAATTTTATCTTCTGTATCACTTATTCTTTTCTCTGTTTCTATCATCTTTGTCATCATCACCACCAGTTGGTTTTGCATCTCGCTTATGGCTCTTTTTATTTTGTCCTGACCTTTTTTGGTCTTTTATCAATGCAGTAAGGGTGTCTTCTATGAGTTTATCATGCCCAGCTAGTATCTTTGTGATTTTTGCTTTAAATTCTGGTCAAGCATATTACTTTTATATGTTTTTTTTTTATATATGAAATTTATTGTCAAATTGGTTTCCATACAACACCCAGTGCTCATCCCAAAAGGTGCCCTCCTCAATACCCATCACCCACCCTCTCCTCCCTCCCACCCCCCATCAACCCTCAGTTTGCTCTCAGTTCTCAACAGTCTCTTATGCTTTGGCTCTCTCCCACTCTAACCTCTTTTTTTTTTTTTTCCTTTTTCTTTTTCCCTTTTTTTCCTTCCCCTCCCCCATGGGTTCCTGTTCAGTAGCATCATTTTTCTACACATGTTTCCTAAGACAAGGTATATAAAACCAAATCTAAACTTTTAAAACTACATCAAAATAAAAAGTTTTTGAACAGGAGTGCCTGGGTGGCTTGGTTGGTTAAGTGTCCAACTCTTTATTTCAGCTCAGGTCATGATCTCATGATTTATGAGGTCAAGCCCCATGTCAGGCTCTGTGTTGACAGTGCAGAGCCTGCTTGGAATTCTCTCTCTCTCTCTCTCTCTCTCCCTCACTCACTATGCTCTCTATCCAAATAAACATTTTTAATTAAAAAAATTATGTTTATTTTTGAGAGCAAGAGAGACAGAGTGTGAGTGGGGGAGGGGAAGAGAGAGAGGGAGACACAGAATCTGAAGCAGGTTCCAGGCTCTGATCTGTCAGCACAGAGCCTGGCATGGGGCTGGAGTGCATGGACCAGGAGATCATGACCTGAGCTGAAGTTGGACGCTTAACCAACTGAGCCAACCAGGTGCCCTAATAAACATTTTAAAAAAGGTTTTGTTAAGGAAACCATCAATAAAACAAAAAGGCAACTTACTGAATGGGAGAAGACATCTATAAATCTGATAAGAGATGAATGTCATATATATATACACACACAACTCAACAAACAATCCAATTGAAAAATGGGATGAGGATCTGAATAGACATTCTTCCAAAGCAGACATACAAATGGCCACAGACACATGAAAAGATTCTCATCATTACTAATCATTAGGGAAATGTAAATCAAAACCACAATGAGATATCACCTCACACCTATCAGAATGGCTAAATCAAAAACACAAGAAGTAATGAATGTTGGCAATAATGTGGAGGATAAGGAACCTTCATGCACTATTAGTGGAAATATAAATTGCTGCAGCTACTGTTGAAAACAGTATGGAGGTTCCTCAAAAAAATAAAAATAGAAATATGTTGATCAAATAACTTCCAGGTTGGTTTTTACCCAAAGAAAATTAAGACACTAACTTGGAAATATATGTCCATTCTTGTTTATTGCAGGAGCATTTGCAATACCCAGGATATGAAAGCAACCTAAATTTCCATTGATGAATGGATAAGGGAGATGTGATATATATAATGGAATATTAACCATAAAAAAGGATTTTTGTCCTTTGTGACAACATGGATGGACATAGATGTTATTTTGCTAAACGAAATAATTCAGACTGAAAAAGACAAATACCACAAGATTTCACTCATATGTGGAATCTAAAAAAACCAAATGAGAAACAAACAAAAAGCAAAATCAGACCTACAGAGAACAAACTGATGGTTGCCAGAGTTAAGTGAGATGGGGGTACATGAAATTGGTGAAGGGGAGAGGGAGATATAGTCTTCTAGTTATGGAATGAATAAGTCATGGGCATAAAAGGCACAACATAGAAAATATAGTCAGTGATATTGTAATAGGGTTGTATGGTAACAGATTGTAGCTACACTTGTGAACATAGCATAATGTATAGAGAAGTCAAATCACTATGTTGAACACCTCAAATTAATGTAACATTGTGTGTCAACTATACTCAAAAATAATTTACAAGACAAAGATGTTATCTCATGGCAGTGAGAATTATCATGAATAAGCAGTTTTAAAAGGTATATTGGGTAAAATAGACTTCATAAAAATATATTATTTTTCAACTAGGATTGTATCATCCACATTCTTTGAAAACAAGTCATATGGAGGCAAAGTTGATTTTGATGAATTTGGCTGTTTTGAGATTGTCCAAAACTTTCAGGTGAATAAAAAGTAGGAGACTCAATAAGTTCCTGACATATGAATACATTTAAAAATAGTGTTTAGAAGTAGATGTTCCAGGTGGTTCTGTTAAGATAATAATACAGAGGCAGTGATATAAATGCAAATCTGAAGTTGTCTCTGGGACAGTCAGCTAATATGATAAACATAGAAGAGGTAAATTAATTTTACACTCAACTAAATTACAATTTTAATAAATTGAAAATGTGTAGGTAGAAAATAGAAGGCTTCAGAGTTTGGGGGCAGTGATAATCAAGTGGAAAAGGGTTAAATATTGTTTCCTATCTCATCTTCACCTATTTTTCCTACTATTCCCCTTTGAGTTTTTACACCTCACAGAACCTCAACTCTCAGCATCCAGTAGCTTTGCCACTCTTAATCACTCTTGATTAAGAGGCAACTTAGGATTTGTATTTGTGTTGCATTTCCCTGAACCACATTACTTCAATAAGTGCTTTCTAATTGTCCAGGGTAATTTATGTATGGCATGACAGTGAATTGGTAAGATAATGACAATTTTTGACTGTTAACCTACATTCTTTAAAGTTCCAATGGCAAAACTTTTGCTTCCCCTGTACAGTGAATTGCATTTTATTTTTATTGAAATTCTTCTATGCCACAGTCAGATTTATTTTAGGATATGCCAATATTATCAGGATCTGGGTCTGATACTATCCTAATTTGCAAAGTTGATTTAAATATTTCAGTTAAAGTTTCTTTCCAAGCCATAAACATACTTTAAAAAAACTGCTTAAATTGTGATTTTTACTATCATAAATTCTCCACCCCATAAAGTTGGAAGTCTAAACATTGAAACACTCAAAGTGAAATTGACTAGTTTTTAATGTTCCTGCATATGGTGAGAAAATTTGAAAATTTTGTTTATCAGATGAACATATGGGAAGGGTTATAAAAAAAAGAGAGAATGGGAAACAAACTATAACAGATTCTTAATGAGAGAGAACAAACTGGGGGTTGATGGATGGAGGCGGGTGGGGGATGAGCTAGATGGCTTATGGGTATTAAGAAGGGCACTTGTTATGATGAGCACTGGGTGTTGTATATAAGTGATCAATCACTGAATTCTACTCCTGAAATCAATATTGCACTGTATGTTAACTAACCAGAATTTAAATAAAAATTAAAAAAGAAA